AGTAGAGAAACGAACGTTTCTTAAAAAAAAAAAAAAAAAAAAAAAAAAAAAAAAAAAAGAAAATAAGAAGAAGAAAAAAAATGTTAGGATTAGAGGGAAATTTTTTGACAAAATTGAAACAATCGTAATAAATCTAGTGACAAAATCTAAATCAAAAATTCGTCGTCAAAAATTTTAAAGATTTCAAATTTTAAAAGTGCTACTAAGAAAGAGAGAGCTGTCCGATTAAACTTATCGAGACAGATCGTTATTCCTATAAAATTTCTATTCCAAAGAGAAATCTATGAGACGAATAAATTAACGAACAAGATCCTTACTGCAAAGGTTGTTGATGACGATTGTTGGATGGTGGAGCAGCTTGTGCCGTGGACGTCGCGGGGGCGTTGGCACTGCTGACACGATGCACATGCAGCTGGTGCATCTGAAGCTGTGCCGCATCTTCGCCGAGGAACGAGCATCTCGAGCATTGTCGTCTGTTGTGCACCTTCAACACGTGGGTGGCTAGACGCTCCGCGCGTGCGGCCTTGTACTCGCACAAGGTGCACGCGAACGGCTTCAGATGCGTGTTCAAGTGCCGTTTAAGGCACCAGTTGTCTACGCCACTCCAAGAACAATAGCAGCAGGTGTACCTGAAAATTTGTAAACGTATCAACCGACTCGATTCCAAACAACCGTTCCAAATTAAACTATTTCGAAATTCGACATTCTCTCAACGACGCGACATGATACACACACGCCTCCTTGAAAAATCGATCGAAAAAAAAATAATGTAGAAATCAATCAATAATTTCTCTTTTAATATATTTATTACTCGATCCTACTCATTTTAATTCTCCAATCTTATCTTGTATCCATAACTTAATATCCATAGAAATGCATAAATGAATTTCCTACTCTCTCCTTTAACTTTATAATTTTACTTGGCAGAAAGTTCGCTCACCTCCGCTCCTGAGCCCCTTTAGAGCCTCCCTTGAGGTGGCTCTTGCTGTTGCAGCCCCCGTTCTGCACCCTCCTCCCCGTGGCACCGCAACTTGCCGCATCCGGTTGCATGATGCCTGGGGCAGGCATCGACGTCCCCTGGTAAATAGCAGCCGCGGCTGCAGCCGTGCTAGCGGCAGGATTCGGCTGCAACTGGTAACTCTTGCTGTTATTAAATCCTGAATAAGTCGTGTGCTGTTGCTGCTGCTGCTGCTGCTGTTGCTGTTGTTGCCCGTTCGCGCTCGCGTTCCCGCCACTCGTCGTAGCGGACTCTTGCTGAAGGGGCGGCTTGGGCGCCGTCGATCCAGCAGGTCTGCGTATCCTCGACAACTCGTAACCGTGCTCCCGATGCATCCTCAAGAAATGTTTCTTCACGTGATCGGCACGGTTGAACGGTTTGTAACATATGTAACAATGGAACGGTTTCTCCTCGCGGTGGATGTTCTCGTGTCTGGTGTACAGGTCGCGGCGATCCGTTCCGTAAGGGCAATACGGGCAGGTGTAGCGCTTCCCGCTCGCCGATACTGTCGCCGAGCTGGGCATTGTTGTGGCGTTCTGTGAAGCGATTTTTCGTTTTTTTTTTTTTTTTTCTTTCTTTTGTCTTGACTCCTCTCCAAGATCGTTTGAAACGTCGATTATTATCTGTGATTATTTTCTAACAATGCGATAGTTTGTTTTCTGTTTCAGATCGAAGGGAGAAAACGGGGAATCCTTCGAGGAAAAGGAAGAACGACGTGTGACACGTGTCGGGACTAACGATCAGAAAAATCGGAATAATTCGATCGGTGTTTGTGGGAATTAAAATTTTTACGAGAATACGGTAAAATTAGAAACCGAAGAGTAAAAAAATCTATCTAGCTATTACTCTTTATAAGTATCGCTTGCAATTTGATGGATTAATATTTAATTTGTTCAAAAATGGACGAAATGTATCACTCGCGAAGCTCGAGGTTGATTTGAAAAGAAGCGCGCGCGTACACACGTAAAAAATGGAAAAAAATGAAATAATATAAAATAATAATCGATCGCTGTTCCTTTTCTCAATATAATGCACGATATGTCTTCGTCGAACGATATTACACGAAAATAATCGCAGAATTATTTGAACGAGCGCAATCTTCTTCTTCTACGACAAGAAATGATTGAATAACTTCGCGAAAATTAACAACGATATGTGTCACGTTCGAATCTGATGTGGCTCACCTGGTGTAAATGCTGAGGTGCAGGAGCGGATGGCAATTCTTGTAACAGGAAGGTAGACGGTACCGGTAGCAAAGCTGCGGGCACCGTTTGCGTTTCTTGCGTTCTTCTCGATGGAGGCGCGCTTCTTTCCGCTCGTTCTCGTAACCTCTCCAAATAGGAAATCACATCCTCCACTTTCAACTCTGTCTGCAAATAGTCCTTCCGCGGTGAGTGATGCCTGTTCCTTTCGTCTGCGAGGATCCTCGACGAATGAAGTTCCATAAAATGTTCTGCAACGTCGCGAGGCCCACCACCCATCACATCCCCTATTCGAACAAAGCTATTCGTCAATTTTCACAAAAGCCTGAGAAAATTTATGGGGAGAGATGGGATGGAGGGGGGAAGAAAAGATCCAACAAGTACTTAGAGTACTTTACGCCGTGTACCTGACCACCCCCCTATTTACCTATCTACCTAGTTGTTTATTGTTTCCACGGATTATTACTTCCGTCAAGCCGGGTATTAACTCAGAAGGGCTTTGTTTCGACAAATGTTAGAAATATTGCGAAAATCTTGTAAATCTATGGAAATAAGTTGGAAAAATTAAAAAAAAAATTCGACAAGGACATTTGTCGTTGTTGTAATTTCGATTTTTGTTCCATCAATTTCAACAATTTTATATCTTATTCTATACTTTTCAAGGTTGAAATAATAGAGTTGAAATATTTTAAACCCAATGAATATTTTGGTAGATTTTTTCCCATTGTAAATTTTGGATTTTCAACGATGTTTCTAGGAACAAATAAATAGGAACAATGAACGGGAGTGGCAGGTTTGTACCGCAGGCAGATATAGGAGAAAATCCATCCTTAACACTAGCAAATATATAGAAAGTTAAGGCGATAATTTATTGCAAAAGAACAAGTTGTTCAAAATTTTCTCCTCTACGATATACATATACATATATATATATCACTATCAAAATCATAGAAATCATAAGAACCCCGAATAACAGCCCAATGCGATGAATAATGTAGATTCTTTCTCGTTGTAAATTGTTTCAACGGTGTTTCTAGGAACAAATAAATAGGAACAATGAATGGGAGTGGCAGATTTGTACCGTATACATATAAAAGAGAAAATCCATCCCTAATACTAGCAAATATATCGAAAGTTAAGACGATGATTCATTGCAAAAGAAAAAGTTGTTAAAAGTTTTCTCCTCTACGATATGTATCAATATCAAAATCGACAATAGAAATCGATAAGGAATAATTAAAATTAATGGAAAATTAATCTTAAGATTAAAATAAAAAAGTGATAGGTATTGACAAAAGGGTGAAATCTCTATTATAGATATTAATTTTCGAATAATGGATTATATCAAATTGATACGGTATAAAACGTGGCGGCTTTCCTTAAGCTAATGAAATTCGCGTAGAGACATAGGACGATCCCTCGATAGCGTCGTCAAACGTGACACTTGGCGGACACAAAGCCGATAATGAACGAGCTTAAGGATATTAGGGACGAAGCATGTCTGCACGCAAGGACGGAGAAAGGTGGTAGAAAGTATTGGAGAGGTATTATTTCACGCGAGAGTTTGCATTTGCATGGCACAAGAAGGTAATAAAAGCTTGAAAATTACCGGGAAAATGCTGCCTCGAGGGTAATAAAAGCCATTTCCTTTGTTCGAAAGAAATTTTCCCGATTTAACAACCAACCGTGTTTCGTGTACACAATAGTGTGTTTCGTCTTTACTTATTGTCTAAAAATTTTTTCAACGATGCGATTCGTAATTACAAAAGCAAGATTTTTATTTACATTCGTACGATTTGACGGAAACGAAAATTCGAAGAAATTTGAACGGAAACAATTTTATATCGGGGACGAGGATTCGACAACGGTTTCGACAAATTTTCGTAACGCAAAGTACGTTATTATAAACAAAAGATGTCTCACAACTCTCTTTGTTTATCGAGACCTTCAATTCGATTCAGCGAACGTTATTTAATTGTAAACATGGAAAAACAGGACGATGTCGTGTCGTGCTCGTATCGATCTTGATTACACTTAAAAGTAAAATAATCGAAATAATTAAACGAAAAGAAAATATAAATAGTGGCAAAGTGAATTTAAACCGATTCCGATTAAAATAATTCGAATAAACGTTAAGTAAAGAAATATTCGTTATACTTGGACGATAACAAAACACTGTTTTTATCAATCATTACCGAAGTTTTTCGAATTTATACAATTTAAACGAATAAAAGCCTCGAAAGTGTCAATTTTTTTCTACTAAATTCGAAGATATATAAGATCGTGGTTAAAAATTAACGATTAGTGGATTAATTAACGATTAAAACGATTAATGAATATAATACGAACCGCATTCATAGCACCTCCATGTTGCCTTCCCAGCGTGATAAGCAGCAATACGGCTTCCATCGGTCCCTTTCAACGGTTCCTCCTCGCAAGTCCAGTTTCCGTCGTCGCTACCGTCGGTCCCGTTTCCGGTGTCCTCCTCGGTCTTGTACGAAACGGAAGTCTCGAACTCGTTCTGAACGCTCGAGGCTACGATAAACGAACTAGCTAAGTTTCGTTCCACCGTGAAATTTCATTTTCGTGTACACCATGGCGAGCGTGTTTTCCACACGGATGCCATTGCTCCTCGGTATACACATATATAAAATAATATTTCGTTACGCGAGGCAGAAAGAGGATCGTTATATCGTTTAAAGTGGTGTGGAAATTATTTATCACAGTCTGGTTAATATTCATACTTCGTAATTACTTGGTTCGTATATTAACTTTTAACTAAGCCGTAATAAAACGTGAATTAAACTTTAACTTAACGTGTACAAGATGTTCTATCTTTTTTTTTCTTTTTTCTTTTTTTTAATCATTGAAAATTCGTTTCGAAAAAACGAGTCGAGCGAAATTTCAACCAATATCGGAACCCGTATATTTTACGAAATATTCGTGCGAAGAAGAAAAAGAGAGATAAGAATTTATAAGATTTTTCTATCCGGCTTATAATCAACTTGGATCACTCTTTCTTCCTGTTCTCTCACAAAAAAAGAATAAACGTTTCGTTGCAAAATTAATTCACTCACTTCTATGATCGGGATCCTCGCCGTACAATTTCCTGGTTATCTCTTTAAACATATCCTCGTAGCAGTCGAGCCTGCTAATTCCTGTGCCGCTACTCTCCATCTTCCGAGCTCTCGTCAGTCACACACTATCCTTGGAAGAATGAACCCACGTCCACCTGAGAACCGAAATGACTTGGCGGGTGAGTCCGGTTGTTATTAAATATAATCACGGAAAACTGCATTTCTCTCCCTTCCATTTCAAACAATATTTTCACTCCCTTTCCCTACTATTTCTTTGGCCAACAATTGGTCAATTTTCCACCACCGTTATTTCTTGCCTCCCGCTCTTTTTCTTTTCCACTCGTTTACGGGGGGATGAAATGAAGGAGAAGGGAGACTCCTCCTTTTCTTTTCTTTTTTTTTTTCTCTCTTTTCTTTTTTTTTTTTTTTTTTTTCTTTTTCTTCTTTTTTTTCAGAATCGCCTCACGAAGGGTGGATCGACGACAACGGGGTCTAATTGGCTCATCGAAGCTTAATTAAATCTTGTCGAGGCGCTTCCCTTAATCCACACGACTTAACTTTACGCTGACCGGCTTAAGTGGCCCATTTGCATAAACGATGGAGATATTCCAGTGTTTGAGGGGAAAGGAGGATGGGGATAATTTGGCAAATATTTTAACACGTGTTTTTTTGCGTGAGAGCGGTGTGTGTGTGTGTGTGTGTGTGTGTGTGTGTGTGTGTGTGTGTGTGTGTGTGTGTGTGTGTGTGG